AATAATAATAATAATAATAATAATAATAATAATAATAATAATAATAATAATAAAAAATGAGTGACTCTAGCCAAATTTGTGATTATCGATTTTTATCGACTATTATAACTAATCAATCGACAACTAACGAGTACTATTGATTAATTGATTACGTTTTCGATGATTGATCGATTTTGATCGATTAGTTACGCCAGAGAGAATCATAATCATGTCTGGTTCATCTAAACGAGGCAAAAAGAACAAACCGCTGCATTTTTTAGCTGAGTATTTAAGTAGCTCTTGCTTCCAGGTCCACATTAAAGCTTAGTAAGGTTGAGTTTACCAGGAAATTGACTCATTACTTATTAGTTAATTAAAACTAATAGCCTGTGTAGGAAACGTTCCCGTACAGAGAACATTTCTGCATTCTGGCTGTGCGTAAATTGGAGCGAGAGCAAAAACTTGACAAAGCAGGGGTGATGAGGTGAAAGAGGAACTGCTTGCCCGCAAACCCCTCTATTTTGAGAAACGCCCACTGGTTCACAGTTGAGTTTATTTATTGATTATCAACTTTGTCACTGAGCTCAAATCATAACAGTGCTACATGTATCTACAGTACTCGTTTGGAAGGCAATAAGTCAAATGTTCGTCTTAAGACCAGCTATTCTTGTGGTTTAACTCTAACTGTTCATTAGCATGGCAGTCATTTCATTCCCTTGCTGCTAACAAAATATTTAACCGTTGAATCATAGAACTGCCCGGAAATTGGAAGCCTTTGTTTGAAAATTGCCAGCACAAGTAAATTCGCTTTCACAGGGAAAACAACAACCCATCGCCGGCTTCTAAAATTTGGTCTTTCATTATCTGGAAACGAAAAAAGACTCAGTAAAGCTAAGCGAGGTTGGCAAATAAGACTGTCAAAGATTGGTTCTCCTTCCCAGGTTCCTGTTTGCACAGACGATGATTAAAACAGCTGCTGAAAGATTTTAAAAGCTTTCACTGAGTCCAGTGGGTAGAAGAGCCACCAATTATTTACCCTATAAAAGACTGCGTCTTCTGAGTAGGATCCAATATGTAACATGCACATTAAGTCTAATAGATCTTCCCTGAGGCTAGCACAATTTTACTATCCTTCCTCCATGACATTGCACAAGTCGCGCTCAAGTTATTCCTGGAATTTTGATAGACTTGTCAATCAAGATGACCATGCTGCACCAATCAGGAGCCCCGTTTGTGGGCGAACAGGTTTATTTTTTAAATCGAGGAGTTTCCGGGCAAGCGTTTCCTCTCTCGCCTTACCACCCACTGCTTTGTCGAGTTTTGCTCTCGCTCCAATTTATGCACGGCCAGAATGTGGAAAAGCTCTCTGTACGGAACGCTTGCTACGCAGGTTATGAAGCTAACATTGGAGTTTGATTTCTAAAGAGCTGTTGACAGAACCCGTTCATTTACAAAAATAGCAGACAAATTTATCAATATTTCTCACTCTCTTCGTCTTTGAAACTCATACCACAACCCAGGCTTTGTATAACGGCACGATGAACAACAAACATGCAACAAACACTAAAGACCTCCACGAAATCTGATGTAAATGGGGCCAAGGTTGCTCATCTAAATGTTCATCCAGGATGTCAAAAACGACCTACTGCCGACCACTCTCGAACAAATCCCTTAGGTGCATCCCAGTGGTCTGGCGCATTTGTTTCAAAAACCAAACAATGTCCCCACCCTATGGTACGATTGTTTTTTAAAAATGCATCTTTTCTTGCGTGTTCCTGGGTTTTCTCTTCTTACTTAGTGATCTACAAAGTTTGTAGATTTCTAGTAAGAAGATTCATTGTTATTGAGACTTGTCTTACTTATAAAAAGTATTTTATTCCAGGAAAGGAGGATGAAAACCCAAAAGGACTTCCATCACCTTCGTAAGTTACATA